TGTGGGATCTCGTTATTGTTTGGCGGATTCGCCATCTCTTCTCTTCTCCTGGCAGTATTGGTATCGTTAGTGTATATTCTACCACTTCTCAATAACATGCAACACTCCTCGAAAAAGATGAGATTATTTTCAAAAATCAACACACAGTCCCACCGGGTGTGCCAATTTGTTTACCGTGGTTATTGGTAAACAACCGCTGATCCTCCAAATGGTTACTTATTTGGTTACTCGCAGGATCGATCAGATTGATCCTAGGACATAGGTTGATTTTGAGGTTTTGATTAAGTTGGATAATGGTTAAATGACAATAACATAAAGAGGCTTTAAGTAAATTGCATGAAGAAATAGGCTTGGTAAAATAAATAAAGGCTTGAAGTAAAGGACTTCGACAGGGAAAGTAAAGAAGAAAGCAAGTAAAGTTTCTGGAAAAGTAAATGACTTTGATTAATAAAAGTGGTGTTTCACACATACATTCTCAACAATTCTTTCTCACACGCTGGGTACTCGAATCTATATGAGTGACTTTGTATATAATTGTGAACACACGCGAGAAACTGCGTGAACTACTACTATTTATACTAAAACATCCCAAGTAACCGTCGGGCAGTTACACTGCTTTGAGATGACTCCACTTGGCACGTTCTCAACGTTCGACGCTCCAGATCTTTGCACGTTGCACTTGGTAACCGCTGGAAACTGTTTTCCCTCCAAACGCTTGAATTTCAAACCGTTCCACTCTGAACCATCGAACACCTTCGTCGAGAAGCATCTTCGACGAGAAACACCTTCGACGTCGAAGGCAACCAACTTCTCCTTTGGAAGAAATCTTCTAAGTACATTGCCATCTTTCGATGGGCATTTCGACGGACCTAGCTGGTCGAAAACATCCTTCAGCTTTAATGGCTGACATTAATGAAACAAGGGTGTCGAATTTAGGAGCCAACACTCGCCTTGGTTTTAACTGCGTGCCTATGTATCTCCTTGCGAGGAATCAGAGTCAAATTTTGTAGTTCGTAGTGTTTGATTAATGTTTTTTATAGGATTGCGTAGAATTGCTTTCGAATTATCTTTGAACTTTGTTTGAGTTGAAAAAGAGTGATCGTAGACGCAGTTCGCAGTTAAGTTTGATAGCAATTCTATTTAATCCCTTTTTGAAAATATCTTGAATTTTACTAAGTTAGTGAAAAAAGTAATTTTTGTTGATTAGTTGTTTTGAATTCGATTTATTGATAAAGAGTTGATCTTTATTGAAATTAAATTGCGTTGAGCAAAGAAATTGATTTTTATAAGGAGTTGATCCTTATTGGAATTAAATCGCGTTGGGCGAAGAAATTGATTTGATTTGTTTGAAAGCTTTTAAATATTTTGATTTGAATATTTAATTGATAAAACGTTAAGTCAATCAATCAATTATTCGAGGATATGGTGGATGTAAAATTCACTAATCCTATTATTTATAGAAATATTAAAATTAATTTGATTTGAAAAGTTTAAAATTATGTATAAGGTTAGTGATTATTAATCTAATTAAAATAATTACATAACTAGATTATTTACAAATAAAATTAAACCTAATAAAAATATTTTTTGTATTTTTTATAATTAGTAAAGAACTAAATTAATTAATTTAAACCAATTAAATTAACACTAATTAAATTATTTAAAATTAATTAAATTAACGAAAGTTAATCAACGTCATAAAAATTAAATTAATTAAACAAAATCTAATATAGAGTATAATTATAAGATATGATGTAAAAGGAGGTGTGAATTTAATACAAGGCTAGAACCAAAGTTTATGTCCCAAATGACTTAAGTTAAGTCTAATTTTAATTTATTATTAAAGATGAGAATAAGAAAATTAAAATAAAAAGTAAAAGAACATCAGGAGGCCCCGTTCGGTCTCATGTCCAGGTAAAGAAATTAGAACATAAAGCAATATCAATATTTTAACTTTTAGTAACTACCAATAAAATATAAATATTTAGATTAATAAAATAAAAAACAAATAGATGGAATATAATAAAGGAATCTGAATAACAATTAGAATATAAATTGCCAGATAAAAAAAAATTAGTAACAACAACAATATAAATTGTTAGATGATAAAAAATAATAATTAGTAACAATAACAATATAAATTATTAGATAACAATAACAATATAAATTGTTAAATGAAAAATAATACCATTAGATAGTCATCATATGGTTAAAAATAAAACAAATTAAAATTAAAAGGAACTGAAAATAAAAGGGATGTCTCATATTTAATCATTGGCCAGAATAAAGAAATTGTAAATTGTATTGAAAAAGAAGTTTTGAAACGAAATTTGAAAAAAAGTGTGAAAATGATGAAGTAGAAGATTGAAATTGTGAATGTTGTGAATTGTGTGTGATTGTTTGTTCAAGACAAAAACAAGGTTAAATGCCAGTTCAAGACAAAACTCTAAAATAAACCAACAAAAGAAATTGCGTAGAAAGAATGTTTGTGAAAGAGAGAGATAGAAAATTGTTGATTGTGGATATTGTATTAGAGAAATTCTAAGAGATTGTTAATGTCCAAAAGCTATGAAAATAGAGTATTATTTAGAGTTGGAAAATTAGGTTAAAAGGCAAAAAAAAGAGAAAATAAAATCAAAGTAATACCTGATTGTATCTTGGTCAACAAGATTAAGAATCTTGACTTAATTGTGACTATGTGCAAGATTTGATTTGAAAAATATTTAAACTGAAAAATATTTTATTTATTTTTGGATTTATAACTTTTTTTGTGTGCATAAAATCAAATATTAAGAATAAAGAATTTAATATTAAAATATTAAAAAAATAAAAAACAAAAATACTTAATAAATAATTAAAAAATATATTTTTAATAATTTTTTAGAATAATGAAAAAAATGCAAATAGATAAAATATAAAAAATATGAAAGGTGAGATTTGAACACGGGACCTCTCACTTACAAGTTGTGTCTCCTTATTTCATTTATTCAAAATAAAACATTTGAAATCACGTGAAAGATAGACAATTTTGTTATTTAAAAATATAAATAAATATAAATAAATTATTTTATATTTTAAATATAAACAAAATAAATTGTTGTTAAAATATTAATAAAATTGAACCAAAAATCTTATAAAACTAAAGTTTAAAAAATAATTTTAATCGTTGAAATAAAGTACACAAATTTAAGATATGACAGATATCCCCGTATGTATTAACGAAGAGTTACCAATAAAATAATTCATTTAATTCACCTACAATTTTAAAAATAATTTATTCACTCACTGATTAAAAAAAGTTAAATATAAATAATAATGTGTCTTATTAGTATGAGGGGCCCTTAAGCAAAGTCTATTTAGTTTGTTCTTTATATTTAAGTAAAATTATTTTAATATTATAATTACAACTTTTAATATATTAAAAAAATATTGTTTTGGAACAATATGAAGTGTTCGTATTTTATAATCTAAAATGTATTTTTAAGTGGTAAAATTCTAAAATCTGAAAATCATTTTTATCAAAACTATAAAAAAAATCATTCAATTTTTTTGCATAAGCTAGCTATTTGACGAGGACTTTTTTTGTCATCCCCAAATTTTACTTGGCACTCTCATATTTCTTTGTAATTTTTATGTTTTTGAAAATTTCTGTATTTTCTGGATTTTGGAAAGTTTTTAATTTTTAATAGATTTTAAAAAAGAAATTCACGAGTTTTTTGTCAAATTTTTAGGAGATCTATAAAAATTTTATTAAATTTAAAAAAAAAATTCAATTACACTATCAGATTTTTCAAAATTTATTATTGAATTTTTAAAAAATTACCGAATTTAAATTATCGAATTTTTCAAATACACTATTAAGTTTTCTAAAATCTTATAAATTTTTATCGGATTTTTCAAATACAATATCAGATTTTTCACCTAGTTTTTCAAAAGAGTATAACTTCTTATCCGATTTTTCAAAAAATCTATGAGTTTTTATAGAGTTTTTCAAAAAAACTATAGATTTCTATCATATTTTTGGTATAAACTGTGAGTTTTTATCAAATTGTTCAAAATACACTATCAGATTTTTAAAAAACTGAGTTTTTACTAGATATTTCAAAATACACAACTAAATTTTTCAAAAAACTATGAATTTTTACTCGTTTTTTCAAAATATACTATTGAATTTTTTAAAATATTATGAATTTTTACTAAATTTTTCAAATACACTACCGAATTTTTAAAAAAATCGGGTAATATTAATTTCGATTTTTTTTCTAACTATCAAAAATGAACTACCGATATTTTCAAAAAATCTAAAAAATTCCAATACATACCTGATTTTTAGAATGTATTATCGGAAATTTTATCCAGAATTTTGGCTAAAATTGTCACAAAAAAAAACATAGGTATTATAAAAATATGGGAGGTGCGAACTATAACCAGGAGAATGGCAGGAAGATTCCTCCTCCTATTCAAGTCGGAACTTTAGCCCACACGCGGTAGCTCATATAGGTATTATTGAAGCTAAAGTTACCACTATGCATACCATCACACAATTTACGAATTTGAATGGAACTTTTAATATGGATTTCAATGTAATGCATATTAGTTCTCTCAAAAAAATAGTCAAGCTCCGCCATGGCATGTACTATTATATATTTATATGAATGCATGCAATTATATTTTTCTTACATATAATACTAACTTTTGCTTCATGAACAAGAAAGGTGACGAATGAGCACAGTTTGGCAATATGAAGCTTCAAGTACATCATGTCATCTGTCATATGGCATTATGCCGACTAAAATAATATTGAAAAACCCAGGTTGAATGAATTTCCAAATATGCCAGAAGATTCTGTGCTAAATGTTTGCTATATTAACAACTAGCAGCAAAAGTAACCAAAATGACATTCATAAAAAGTTGCTACCTCTGCCTCCTATCATAAGTTTTCATCAACAATATTGCGTCATTAATTCCTAAGCTTTGAGAAACCATAATACCTCAAACTATCACTGTTGCCTGAAAATAAAGGAGCTTTCTTTCACAGGATTCTCATGAAACTGACATCTCATATACTTTAGCTGTGCTTTTGTGTCATCCTCAATTCCTTCTTTGCGTTTTCTAGTTCCATCAATGGTTGTTGTGTTCATTTTATCATCACCAGACAAACTCATGGCGTCCACAGTATCATGCATCTCTACATCACCTCCACCAACTCTATCGATCACAGACCCTCCATGTATCAAATTTAAAAAGGGATGTTTGACCACTGGAAGTATGCGCTCTGTTCTTGAAGTGTAAAGGACAGCTTTTGCACGATGCTTGGCAATTCCACAACCAAATATCGCTAATCCTTGTTCCTCAACAACTAGAAGCCATTCTGAATATCAAATGAAATCACTGATCATTAGTTAAGCAACAAAACAAAACAAAAAAACCTGGCAGACAAAAGGAAAGAGATTGCAGAAAATGGGCAGCTCTTCTCAATTAACGATAGTCGGAATCCATTCTACAACAACATTGATACCACTTGAAATTGGGTGCAGGCACATTCAAGCATTTTCTAACTTGACTATTGTTCCTCCAAAATTTCTCAATCAATGGAAAAAATTGTGTCTATCTTTCCAACCTTGCAAACTTTAGAGTTTTTCATATGCTTAATGAAGGAAATGTTTGTGATGATAGGTTAGCTAGTACTTCTTTTATTTGGTGAAATTTTTTACCGACTTGTACTAATGAGACTTTTTTTACCAACTTGGTTCCCTCTAGTTTTTTCTGTATTTTCTTTCTTCCTCTTTTTATATATTTTTGGGGGTACTGCAAGTGAGTGGTTCTGCCTTTGATGCCAACCTAGTTATGATCACTGGTTTTGAACAATGATGCATTTGCACTATCTCTTAAAAAAAAACTATACAGCTTGTTGAACTTTTAGAAAATATAAAAGCCCCATCCCGATCAAAGAGAAGTAAAAAAATAACAAAAAATTAAAGGGGTAATTAGAGGAGCTCACTTATAATATCTATGGGAGTGGAAACACTTGGTCTGCCGATCTTTCTGTCCATGCCACTTTGACTAATAACCCAATTGATCAATTGGATGGGAATGCAGGATTTACAGAAGGCAAGGGTATAAGAAGTAGCTTTCCCATGATCACCATTTTCCCTGTGTGACCAAGCAGATTATGAGACTTATTAGCTGAGAAATTTAAGAAACCCGTTCAGAATTCATCCTTCACAGCTACAATATGGTCTTTACCTAGCAGACTGTATGGCTAACTCAGCAACAAACAACCAATTAATTGCAAAATCTTTCAGGCCGTTGGCATACAGTGAAACTCCAGCTTGGCGGTTTATGAATGAATAATCCATCATCATCACAGAATTGTACAGGACTTCTTTTAAAGAACTTCATTTTCAGAACCCTAGAACAAAAAACAACCAGTAAATTGCTGAATATAACAGCAAATTAGAAATGAGCAATAAAACGCATCATATGCTTCTCGAAGAGAAATGAAATAGGTCATTTCATAAACTAAAGAGCTTAAATTACCAATGGAAGAAGGCAGTAATGGAGTTAATGTTGAGAAGATTATGGCAATGAATAATCAATGCAGCTAAACCAAGTTTTAGCCCTTTTCAAAGACAATTTATGGGAACTATACATGAATAATTGATGAATTGAACAATTTCTCTGGAAAGGTTCAGATAAGTTTGAAAATTCCAAAATCTAAATAATAGTTACCAACATCGCTAAACAGAATCAATACTTAAACTTCTCATCTTACCTCAAGTATCATATGAAGAATACAACTTCAGTATTAACTTATTGAACTTCATATGAGTAGACCCAACTACAGTCACCTGGGGCTGGTTCCCAATTCGCTATGGTACGTGGTACGGTTTTGGGACGCGGTACGTGGTACGGGTTCAGGATGCGGTACGTGGTACAGGTTCGGGCATGCGGTACACAACTTTTGAAGTATTAGGTACTTGGGGGTATACACAATTGATATGTTGTTAGAGTTCATGGTACGTTAAAATATTTTAACTGGTATGCTATAATTGATATTTTATAGTCTGCTTAAAAACAATGAAGCACATAATGAAAAATATAAAATAACATCAATAATAGATAAACTAAGGCAACAGCTAACAATAGTAATAGTAATAATAGGATAATAAGAAAAAAACAGTCCCATATTTAACATTAGGACCACCCCGGTTTAACATTTCAATAGTCCCACATCAGATGTGTCAAAACCAACAGAGAGGAGAATTACCTATAAAATAGCATTCAATAAGCATGAACAACACAAATGTGGGATCCAATAATCCGCTGGTTTAAAACAATAAGTGTTGATAAGCTTGGATCCCTTTATTTTTGGTTCAAACAGTTGATGACTGGTTTTTGTGGGAGTTTTCCAAGCTCTTACTCAAACCGGTTTTTCTTAATTCTTCACGAAATAGGCATAAATTTTGGTGTACGGTGAACTAATTTGTAAAAGTCCCGTGTATCAATGTGTGGTTCTTCAGCTACTGCACGAATTATGTGACTAGGGAGCCAACATATCTGTAAAATAGGTTTTACATGCCAACAAAAATTATCTTATCTTACAACCAGCTAACCTGAGAAAGTGTTGTTAGATAAGTGATATGTTTTGTTCTATCTAAAAGGGAGCAAAACAGGTTGATCTAATTCATTCATTCTGTTTGAAATTAGTCATACCAAAACATAGTTTCCTGGAAAAAATTAGGTGTTTTGTCTACAAATTTACAATACCTTCTAAATTATTATAATCAAGTAATGCTAAAGAAAAGATATGGTATGATTGTACTGACCAGTAAGGAGATCACTGGTAAAACTGGCTCCAACATCATCCTGAAAAGGGTATCTGGTATGCACCAATAAGCAGTCAGGAAGTACATACACGAAAACTGTAATGAAGTCACCCCAGAAAGCACAAGATTTCGACCAATGTCAAGCTGACAAATAATAAACAAATAAAGGTAAAACTTGAACTAAGAAAATTTACAAATCTGTATGATCAGATTGACCCATACAAAGACAGGAGACAACTCCGAATGGATGGTTTATGCATGAAAATCAAAACCAACCTGAGTCCACACAAATATAAATAAACAATGAAAAATAAATTTCATCAAGATCTAGCTTCCTAAAATGTTGTAGAACCTACATTACTCCAAACTCCATAATGACAGAACATAACTATATTGAAACATCTGCTAAAAACAGCAAACGCTATTCATGACACCAGAAATGTTATTAAGGTTGCTAAGGAAAAGATAGAGAATGTATAATAATTTGATAAATGGACAGAGTCTATATAAACACTTTTATTTTTATTTGCATTTATCTAAACACTCTAGCAACTTATACACACTCAGTCGATCATGTACATAAATGAAACGGCTTGGAAAACGTCTAAGTAGTTGTAATCAGCGTTTTGATCATGTTATTCTATGTATTTTGTTTTTGCAGTAACAAGGTAACCGCAATTGAGACCAACAATATCGGTAGTTGGCTGTGATTTGCTGAAATATCAAAGACTACGATTACCGTGTCATGAGAAAAGTAAAGAGTGCTTACCCAAAAAGTAAAAATTGCGAAACCCTGTCATGATCTGAGCTGCAGAAGCCTGCAACTTCTTCTCTTTCTCCCCTCTTGTGATCCCAGCATCAAAAATCAAACACATTTTCAACAAAAGAGCTTCAAACATAACAACCCCAGCCAAATAACCAACCTGACAACCCATCTCAATCCCCTTTCGAATCTGATCACTAACAAAAGGGAAAAACTCCTTCAAACCATCCCCAACCCCAAATCCACCCTCACAACCAATCATCCAAACCGGTAACAAATCCACAAAACCCTCTTCCAAAACCACACCCCCGTCACCCCCTTGAACCTCAACTTGACTCTTCAAACAATAAATGCTACAATAACTAACAACCCCTTCCACCAAACCCTCAAATTCACTCTTCACTTCTTTCTCAAAAACCCCCAAACGCCAAAGCTGAAAAACCAAAGGCGCGAGAACACCAATCCTCTTCATCGACACACATCCATCGCAACACGAAACCAGCAACTGAAACAAACTCTTAACTGTATCCACCGAAGCTCCAGAACATTCTTTCCCCACTCCCAACCTATATTTATGAAATTCGAGAGCTGTATAGAACCACACAACTGGAATCGGAGGGTCCGGTGTAGTAAGAAGCGTGCGGGAAAAGATTGATGTGAAGTCGCTGAAATTGGTAGCGCCTTTTCTGTATTCAGCTAGGAAACGGTTGATTGATTCTTTGAGCATTGGTTGGTAGTGAGATGGTGGAAGTTGTTTCAACTGGCTTTGGTTCATTTCCGGTTGCAGAGTCGCCGGAAATTTGAGTACTGTATGGTGAGGAGAGAGAAAGAGAGAGGGAGGAGAGAGAGAGAGAGAAACCCTAGGTTTTAGGGAGTGGTTGTGAATGGAGCAAGTACAAGGAAACGAGAGGGAAGGAATATGCACTTTTTATAACGGCCAACTTTTTTTGAATTTGGTGCTTTTTTTTATCTTTTAACTTTTTTTAATTTCATTATTTCATGTCTTTGTTAATTGGAATTTCTAAAATAACTATTAAAATATATATATTATAATAAAAATGAAATGATAAAATTTATAAAATTGTTTCAATAGATTTATGACTTGAAAAAATAAAAGAAGTGAAAATAAATCGTTAAGAAGATGAAAAAGAAAAAACTTTTATGTTAAAGCTAACATTTTGAATATAGATCTACAGTCTTAGAAAAAAACTATATGTTCATCTTTATTTTAATAAAGTTGCAACTTGAAAAATTAAAAGAAATGAAAAAAGGGTTAAGAAGATGAAAAAGAGAAAACTTTCATATTAAAACTTACACTTTTAATATAAATTTATAACTTGAGAAAATTAAATATGATAAAATTTTGGTCTTGCCATATAGAAAGGACAGAGGAAGATGCAGTCTGAAGTTCAAAGAAAGAGATTTGAAAAGGGAAAATGTAAGTGTTATAGAGATGGAAGTTGCAGTAAGATTACTCTAAAGTTGTTAGATGTGACTATAGCAATATTAAATATAATGTATTTTTTTTAAAGGCAAAAAGAATTAAATTTTATTGACATATTAATTGAGTGTTTAAAAAAATATAATATAGAAGGTAGAAAGTAGAAGATTAGTTAGAATCGAAGTGTAAGAAAACAAAAAGAGTGCCGAAACGAGAGGGTAGCAACCTGACAGCTTATATGAATAGAAGGATAGAATTGATATTTAAACAACATATAATTTTCTTATATGATAAATATATTTTAGAAATGGTTAGTTTTTTTCAGATTTATCTCTTCTTATAGTTAACATTTGGTTCTCTCACAATTAATGTATTTCTTTATTTAGAAACTTTCAAGATAAGATTTTAAAAAATCATTCATAGTAATTATTTAAAATACTGTTGTTAGTTAAAAAAAGTTAAAATGTGTTCAAAATGTCAAAATAATTTTGACTGAAAATGAATAATATATGGACTACTTTAATATATATATATATATATATATATATATATATATATATATATATATATATATATATATATATATATATATATATATATATATATATATATATATATATATATATATATATATATATATATATATATATATATATATATATTTCCTCCGGTCGCAATTTTATAAAAAAAAACTCACCCTTTAAAAAAATGTTTAAATGTATTTAAGTCTTACAATCTTTCTAATTTTATCTCTATTTTTTATTTTGGAAATTGTTGAAATATAGGAATGTGAAGAAAAAAAAGTAAGGATATATTTGAAATAATGATATTAAATGGAATAATTATATGTGTTTTTTTTGCTTATATTTAAGACCATTGCAATTTATTTATTTTGCTTATATTCAAGACCGGGGGAGTATATATATATATATATATATATATATATATATATATATATATATATATATATATATATATATATATATATATATATATATATATATATATATATATATATATATATATATATATATATATATATATATATATATATATATATATATATATATATATATATATATATATATATATATATATATATATATATATATATTGTAATGGTCAAAAAGTATAAGGTGTGTGTGTTCTCTCAGCAAGGGCATGAAATTTTAGAGCCCCTTTGTTAGTTTATTACTTGTTTGGATAGTGAGGGTTTGCTCACGACAACGAGAAGTCATGTGTGGTGGTTTTGATGTTGTTTTAAGGGGTCCGCTCATGTGAGGTGAGAGATCATGTAGATGATCGGCACTGCTTGGTAGCGAATGGGTGGTTAATTTAGTTAAATATATTAGCTTAGTGATATTTGAGTAATGGAGAATGTATATGACTTAGAGTTTGTACCCCGTCTCTTTAAGGAGTAATGTATTTATAGAGGTCTCTAGGACCTAGGGTTTCTCAGAAAAAGGCCACAGGGTTTCCTCGGAAAAGGTCCCCGCTCACTCAGTCAAATAGTGGACAGTTGAATCCCTATTTCTAAGGGAGATGAGGATCAACAATGACTCTGACTTTTTCATTATCTAAGACGCGTCTTATCCCACGTTTTATTTTTCTCTATGGAGGAGGAAGATTTAAGGGCGATGTGATACCTCCCTTCGGGCGACTTTATGCCGTCGCCTTCTCCTAGGGTGGTCACGGAGCATCCCCCTAGGCAGGGCTTTTTGTAAATATAACACTACATAGTCCTCTCAAAAATGAGACCTTCAGTAGAAGATGATATGCTTTTTATCTGCAACTAATGGAAGTATCCTGAGAAGTGGTATTTCCCTTTGCGAGGCTTTGGTTGACCTTTAGGAGTCTAGGCTTTCATGGACAATAACACATAGCTCGACTTGTGGGACGTTAAGTCCTTCAGGCGAGGCGTCTTGACCTTTCAGGAAGAACTTCCATCGAGTGTTCTAGCAAGATTGAAAATCAATTCTTCAAGGTTTGACATAAGTCGTACCTCTTAGGCATGCTTCATTAGAAGTGATTCCACCCGAGGAGACGCTAAGTCCCTCAGGCGAGAGTCTAATTAATTTGAGGAATCTAAGTTCCTTAAATGCTGAAATGTGTAGCCCGACTGATGAGACACTGAGTCCTTCAAACGAGATGACCTTGTATCATAATCTTTGGGAAATAGTTATTAAAGAAGCCAGCAGAGATGTAAAGAGATAAGAGGCGACAACATCGACATCTGCTATAAAATGAGACATGTCGTTAGACTTAAGTCGGACCAAAGAAGGAATAGGATTAATAGCACAAAACTGCCTAAAGGTGCAAATAACTTGATTGGGGGCTCCAAAATAGCCTTCAGCCCATAAAATTGTTGTTGGCCCATAAATAATATTTTTTAAAAATTTTGTTTCATTTACCAAATTCGTGTTTGGGCCTTCAAGGTATCCAATTCCAATGAATTAAATAAAATTTGTGAGTTGGTCCCTATCGATACTACTTGAGACTCAATGTGATACTTCAACGATGCTTTCCTATATTGTATGGGCTCCGCATGGTGTAAGAGGACCTTTTCAAAAAAAGGACCTAGGTAGGAGTCACGAGAAAATACTTTTTCTTTGAAAACATTGGTCCGTACGAAATTTCAAAAACGATTGTTCACCAGATTTGCACCCGTTGAATTGCACTAAATGTGGAGCAATGTCCTTCATTTTGTCTTTGCTTTTTAACAAAAAGTCCACATGACATTAACCTGTCACCTGTTTGTGGTATTTTAAACAAAAGTATTTATATTATCATTTTCCTCAGGGATTGGTGTGATATTAATGTTGTTTTATAGTTTGAGTGTCTATAAGTGTTTGAATGATAAACAAAGTGTTAATGCTTGCTTTTAGTAACCAGAGATCAAGTTTCATGCACTAGATAGAGATTTGGATAATAGAGAGGTTTTTGTTTGAAAATGTTTGTTTTGATAAAAAGGTGTCAAGATTAGTTTTCATCAACCTATTCCACAGTTATTCGATTAACCTTGCATATGAACTAATAAATGGTCAATACATTCATGTATCCTCTCAATATTTCTCATGTCTAAGCAATATTGTGAGTGTTATCATGTTAATCTTTAAATGATCTCTCAACCTAACTAGTAACATGATAATCTTTAAAGCTTGATACAAGTGAATACTAGCTCGCAAATCTATGTCTAGAGTTTGTTTATTAGTAGATGAATATCTTAGGTCAAGCTTGGAACTTACTTCTCAATAATGAACCAAACCATAAAAATAACAATGATACAAAGATATTCAATATGTATTAATCTTCAACCAAGTTCATATACAAAATGATTAAAAGAAATACATTAAGTCTAGGTTGACTACTTCTAACCTTGACACAAAAAGTGTTTAGCTACTCATTGTCATGATACCTTGCTCAATGAATAAACAATGGATGTTGATGAACATCAATCTTCAAGTCTCTTTGATTCAAGATGCAAGAGTGTTCTTTCCCTTCTCCTTCTTTGAGATAAGAACAAAAATATACTTTCTATCTTGTAATCTTATAATCCATAAAACAAAAGGTTTCTATATCCAAAATCAGATTTTTTTCTCTCCACAAGACAAAAGTTGGTAGAAAGTGTCCATAAAAGGTGGCAAAAAGTAGCCAAAAGTATGGCCTAACTGCGCTCCATTGTCGGGCGACCATAAAGCATCGTCGGGCGATTTTGGCTAGATGCCACACGTGACCAGCTGGGCGTGTTAAAACCCCAAAAGAGCATCTATCATCGCCCGGTGACAAGCATTCTTCGTCGGGCGATCCTCCTTTCGCCAGGCGCCCCAGAGGCGAAACAATACAGGATTGAAGCTTCTATTTTTCACCATTTTTGTCGGGCGACGCATCCTTTTGCCGGGCGATCCTCTACAGCATCAACACTTTTGATTCTTTTGCTTGTCAAGCCTAAATTCTCCATTTTGCCATCTTTTCTGCACAAGTTTTGCTGAAACACTAACAAACAAATTAAACATACACAACTCTTTGAACATACGCAAAATGACTGAAAATAAATATTTAACCTAATCAAAAGTAAAATAAAAGGTCTCAAAGTGTCAAAAATTGATATGAATTTATACACAAATTGACACTTAACATCACCAAAGACACCTTTTTATCCTCCTAAATTCTAAGATTTTATTTGGGAGTTTGAAGGAGAAGATAATGGAGGGTTTTGAAAAAAAGGAATGGTTGAGTGAAAAATCAAAAATCAAAAATTCCCTAATTTGTGTAACTAAAAAATTGTATTGGTGGAGAGATTTGAAGGACTTTGAAAAATTGTTCTAATATATTTT